TGCAGCTGTGCAGCCTCCATGCCACACGTTGATGCTGGAGCACAGGATGCTCTCCACTGCACACCTGTAGAAGGAGGTGAGGACTGAGCTTCCCAGACCAGCTCGCCTCAGCCGTCTGAGGAAGTAGAGTCTCTGATGAGCTTTCTTGATTAGGCTGGTGGTGTTGTTGCTCCAGCTGAGGTTGTCATTCATGTGTACACCCAAGTACTTGTAGCTGGAGACCACTTCCACCGCAGATCCTCTTATGTTCAGGGGGGTGTAGGTGTTTTTGTTCCTTCTGAAGTCCACAATCATCTCCTTTGTCTTCTTCACATTGATGTGAAGGTTATTCTCTCTGCACCAGCTCTCCAGGTGTTCCACCTCTTGCCTGTAGCTGAACTCATCATTGTTTGTGATGCATCCCACCACCACTGTATCATCTGCAAACTTTACAATGTGACAGCCTGGATGGGCAGCTGCACAATCATATGTGAGCAGAGTAAACAGAAGGGGGCTCAACACACATCCCTGAGGAGAGCCAGTGCTGAGGGTTATGGTTTCTCCCTGTACACCAACTGCTGCACCTCCAGCCATGACTCTGTAAAACTTATTAAGTTTGCAGATGACACCACCCTCATCGGGCTCATCTCGGACGGTGATGAGTCTGCATACAGGAGGGAGGTGGACCGGCTGGTGACCTGGTGCAGCAGCAACAACCTGGAACTCAATGCCCAGAAGACAGTGGAGATGATTGTGGACTTCAGGAAAGCCACAGCCCCTCTGCCCCCCCCCTCACCTGTAAGGATACCCCCATCACCACTGCAAATTCTTATCGGTTCCTCGGCACCACCATCACCCAGGACCTCAAGTGGGAGCCAACCATCAGCTCCCTCATCAAGAAGGCCCAGCAGAGACTGTACTTCCTGCGACAGCTGAAGAAGGCCAAGCTGCCGGCCAAGCTGATGGTGCAGTTCTACACGGCCATCATCGAGTCTATCCTCAGCTCCTCCATCACGGTGTGGTACGCCGGGGCCACTGCCAGGGACAGACTCAGACTGCAGCGCGTTGTGCGCTCAGCTGAGAAGGTGATCGGCTGCAGCCTTCCATCCCTCCACGACCTGTACGTCTCCAGGACTGTGAGGCGAGCAGGTCGGATCACAGCTGACCCTGCTCACCCTGCACACGGACTGTTTGAACCACTCCCCTCAGGCAGGAGGCTTCGGTCCATTCGGACCAGAACCTCCCGTCATAAGAACAGTTTCTTCCCCTCTGCTGTTGGACTCCTGAACACTCATAATGCTACCTCATAATGTCTGCTTTGGTCACATTACATCTGTATTGTAGTGAACTTGACCTGATGTCAAAACTAAGCCTAAGGTCAAAACCCTTGACCTTAAGAACCTTGTGGGACAGAAACTGTCATTTCATTGATTTGAATCCAGAAATACAGGTTCACCCATCCTGAGACTTTCTTTCTTGAAAACTCAAGTGAAAGAACACTCTCTTTTCTATTATCATTCCTGTTTTACAAATGTTTGATAATCAAAGTGTTTTAGTTCAAACATTTTAGATGTTACAGTGAACTAATCAATTTTATTAACTGTAAAACAGTAACAATGATTTTTTAGTTGCTTATGCAAAGTAGAATTCATGTTAAGGCCTGTTACAGAGTAATTATGCATTTTCTGATTTCTGTCTTTGAATGAGCAGTGTACGTTTTCCAAGGTCATGAGTCGGAGCAGACATGTGTTGGAACAACTGCGTTGTTTTACATCCTCTCAGACTTCAACAGAGAAGTTGGCACCTGTTTCTCCAAACTCGCCAAAATATTTCTCTCGCCTGTCTGGGAACATTTTCAATCTGTTCCAATAACATTCTTGCTGTTTTCTGACTTCTAATAACCTCTTACATCACAAAACACACCCCTGTCTGGTTGATATTGACCAATCAGGAACTCTCAAATATACCGGAAATAGAGCCCTTTAAATGCCGGTACTTCCTAGTTCTCTCAGTTCGGTGAAGTGGCAGTTCTGTGAAGTCGTTGTTCTGTGAGTTGCCGTTGGAGTCGGGCTGGAGAGTTTGCAGCTCCAGTCGTTTGGGAGAACAGAAGTCCAGCCATGATAAGGCTCTTCCGAGTTTGGATTATAACATCTTCCACCTCTGAGTGGAACTTCTGAAGGACTCCACTCATGTGAAGTCCACTTGCTGAGGTGAGCTTGTGTCGGACGGAATCTCGTCACTACTTCGGACGAGTCACAGCCATCCTATGGAGACGCTGGACAGGTAGCGTTAACTGGAACTCCGTAACCGCTGATTCATCTTCAGAGAGGTAACGAGTCAAGTTTACTACCGAGCGTACCGAGGAAAAGCTGGGTTCGAATGGAGAGTGCTGTTTCTGAGTGCCGACATAAACATTCTCCCTCATCCATCTTTTACTTCCTTTAAACTCCATCTTTCCATCTTTAAAATTCTTCTATCAAGTAGAAATCATTTCCAGATATTTTAGAAATGTCTGTGTAAAGTTTCAACCATCGCCGTATGGTTTTCTAATTGTACAGCTTGCTGATTAATTATGTTGTTATTTTTCAATTTGCCAAATTAATGTAAATGTTTGATGTTAAACTTTGATTTTGTAAAATAAATGACCACATTCATTTTGATGGGTCAAAGATAAATAACGTCTCACGTTACATTTTATTAAATTCAATGCACGTTTTATTCAGTCCAGAAAAATGAAGAATCCGTTTTAATTGATGAATATATCTCAGCATCTGTTCATCTACAGTATTATAACTGAATACTCCATCTGTACTGTTTTCGAAGCTTTTTTATTGTTTTCTATTGTATGGGTGTACATTTGGTTATGTTATGGTTTTAATTTTACTTTATTTGTGGGTGTACACAGGCTTATGTCTTATGTAATGTTCTCATTTTTACTTAATTTTTACTTTATTTTTACTTTATTTTACTTTACTACTATTCGCACCTTATGTCGAAGCAAATTCCTAGTTTGTGAACCTCGTTCATTGACATGGCGATAATAAACTGATTCTGATTCTGATTCTGATGATGCGCCAAATGTTCTCTATAGGTGAAAGATCTGGACTGCAGGCTGGCCATTTCAGTACCCGGATCCTTCTCCTACGTAGCCATGATGTTGTGATTGCTACAGAATGTGGTCTGGCATTATCGTGTTGAAAAATGCAGGGTCTTCCCTGAAAGAGATGACGTCTAGATGGGAGCATATGTTGTTCTAGAACCTGAACATAGTTCTCTGCATTAATGGTGCCTTTCCAGACATGCAAGCTGCCCATGCCACAAGCGCTCATGCAACCCCATACCATCAGTGATGCAGGCTTCTGAACAGAGCGTTGATAACAACTTGGACTATCCTTGTCCTCTCTGGTCCGGATGACATGGCGTCCCAGTGTTCCATAAAGAACTTCAAATCGTGACTCATCTGACCACAGAACAGTCTTCCATTTTGCCACACTCCATTTTAAATGACCCCTGGCCCAGTGCAAACGTCTGAGCTTGTGGAGCTTGCTTAGAAATGGCTTCCTCTTTGCACTGTAGAGTTTCAGCTGGCAACGGTGGATGGCACGGTGGATTGTGTTCACTGACAATGCTTTCTGGAAGTATTCCTGAGCCCATTCTGTTATTTCCTTGACAGTGGCATTCCCGTTTGAGGTGCAGTGACGTTTAAGGGCCCGGAGATCACGAGCATCCAGTAGAGTTTTACGGCCTTGACCCTTACGCACAGCGATTGTTCCAGATTCTCTGAATCTTTTGATGATGTTATTGTTGTGGCTGGAATACCACGTCGTGTTCAAGACGGCTGAGGCGTTGCCCTTCGTATAAAAGATTTATTTGACAAAACATTATGCACGGTTGATGATGATAACTTAAAAGTCTTTGCTATTTTACGCTGGGTAACACCATTCTGGTATTGCTGCACTATCTTTCTGTGCAACAATGGTGGAATTGGTGATCCTCTTACCATTTGACTTCTGAGAGACACTGACACTCTGAGAAGCTCTTTTTATACCCAATCATGTTGTCAATTGACGTAATTAGTGTTAATTGGTCTTCCAGCTGTTCATTATATGCACAATTTACTTTTTCCAGCCACTTATTGCTACTTGTCCCAACTTTTTTGGTATTTGTTGACACTGTGAAATTTTGAATCAACATATTTTTCCTTTAAAATGTTACATTTATTCAGATTAAACTTTTGATCTGTCATCTACAGGCCCTTCTCAAAAAATTAGCATATTGTGATGAAGGTCATTATTTTCCATAATGTAATGATAAAAATGAAACTTTCCTATATTTCAGATTCATTGCACACCAACTGAAATATTTCAGGTCTTTAATTGTTTTAATACTGATGATTATGGCATACAGCTCATGAAAACCCAAAATGCCTGTCCCAAAAAATTAGCATATTTCATCCCACCAATGAAAGACAAGTGTTTTTAATACAAAAAACGCCAACCTTCAAATAATCATGTTCAGTTATGCACTCAATACTTGGTCGGGAATCCTTTTGCATGAATGACTGCTTCAGTGAGGCGTGGCATGGAGGCAATCAGCCTGTGGCACTGCTGAGGTGTTATGGAGGCCCAGGATGCTTCGATAGCGGCCTTAAGCTCATCCAGAGTGTTGGGTCTTGTGTCTCTCAACTTTCTCTTCACAATATCCCACAGGTTCTCTATGGGGTTCAGGTCAGGAGAGTTGGCAGGCCAATTGAGCACAGTAATACCATGGTCAGTAAACCATTTACCAGTGGTTTTGGCACTGTGAGCAGGTGCCAGGTTGTGCTGAAAAATGAAATCTTCATCTCCATAAAGCTTTTCAGCAGATGGAAGCATGAAGTGCTCCAAAATCTCCTGATAGCTAGCTGCATTGACCCTGCCCTTGATAAAACACAGTGGACCAACACCAGCAGCTGACATGGCACCCCAGACCATCACTGACTGTGGGTGCTTCACACTGGACTTCTGGCATTTTGGCATTTCCTTCTCCCCAGTCTTCCTCCAGACTCTGGCACCTTGATTTCCGAATGACATGCAAAATTTGCTTTCATCTGAAAAAAGTACTTTGGACCACTGAGCAACAGTCCAGTGCTGCTTCTCTGTAGCCCAGGTCAGGCGCTTCTGTCGCTGTTTCTGGTTCAAAAGTGGCTTGACCTGGGAATGCGGCACCTGTAGCCCATTTCCTGCACACGCCTGTGCACGGTGGCTCTGGAATCGGCCCTTCTCCACAATCCTCCTCAGGGTCCGGTCACCTCTTCTCGTTGTGCAGCGTTTTCTGCCACACTTTTCCCTTCCCACAGACTTCCCACTGAGGTGCCTTGATACAGCACTCTGGGAACAGCCTATTCATTCAGCAATTTCTTTCTGTCTTACCCTCTTACTTGAGGGTGTCAATGATGGCCTTCTGGACAGCAGTCAGGTCGGCAGTCTTACCCATGATTGTGGTTTTGAGTAATGAACAAGGCTGGGAGTTTTTAAAAGCCTCATGAATCTTTTGCAGGTGTTTAGAGTTACGTCGTTGATTCAGATGGTTAGGTTAATAGCTTGTTTAGAGAACCTTTTCATGATATGCTAATTTTTTGGGACAGGCATTTTGGGTTTTCATGAGCTGTATGCCATAATCATCAGTATTAAAACAATTAAAGACCTGAAATATTTGAGTTGGTGTGCAATGAATCTGAAATATATGAAAATTTCATTTTTATCATTACATTATGGAAAATAATGACCTTTATCACAATATGCTAATTTTTTGAGAAGGACCTGTATGTATGTGTTTGTGTGTGTGCGTGTGTGTGTGTGTGTGTGTCCTTGTTTATGTTACTTTGTGAGGCCCATTTTTCCAACTTATACTGCATTGTGAGGACCAACTGCTCCTTATGGGGCCCAAAGCCCGGGCCCCATAATAAGAAGTCCCGTTGGTGGGTTAGGGGCTAGGTTTAGGACTAAGGTGTGAATTGAGGATGTGTTAGGTTTAGGGTTAGGTATGTATTGGTAATGGTTAGGTTATGGATAAAGGTCATGGTTAGGCTATAGAAATGAATGAAAAATGAATGGAAGTCAATGCAAAGGCCCCACAAAGATAGCAAAACAAACCTGTGTGTGTGTGTGTGTGTGTGTGTGTGTGTGTGCGTGTGTGGGCAGCTGTGGCTGAGTGGTTTGAGTAGTGGTCCTCCAATGCAAAAGTTGGGTGTTCAAATCCTGCAGTTGTCACAAGCATCCCTGGGCAAGACACTGAACCCCTCACTGCCTCTGATGTGTGTCCCATCAGTGTATGTGCAGGATTCTCTGCCTTCTCCTTTAACCATCTCACTCTCTCCAACTAATTGGCTGATTAGCTGCACCTGCTACCAAGACCTGTACTTCCACCTCCTGCTCTACTTAAGCCGCAACCAGACGTTCAGCCGACACTCGAACATTTATTGCCTTTGGTAATATTGTGACAGCCAGCCAAACCTAAGTGTGTTCAAGTTTTATACTAACCTCTTGCCTTTCTGCCCGTCTGTTCAGTTTCCCATTCGTCCTGCCTGTCTGGTCTCCTCGTGGCTGTGTCTGGTCGCCAATCCTGCACACGAACCATATTAAGAAACTACATTCTGGATCCTTCAACCAAGACTGCATCATCGATCAATACTCACCCGCTGGATTCCCTGCCATCTCTGGATTCTGAACTCTCTGTTCACACCACTCCAACGCCATCTTTAACCACATTCGACCGTAAGACAAACCACTTAAAATCATCTCAGTTATCAAAGACCATCCATATCAAGACACTCATCTCGTCTCCTCTTTTCCTTCCACAGCCAAGATCACATCTGCACTGTAAATAAACTATAATTTTTGTATCCCTGTTCTCATGTTTTTGGTCTGCCAATTGGGTCATTTAATAACAACAACCATGTTAGAATGTTCGAGCCAATCAGACCCCCAAGGCCAGACCAAAGACATTCAGAGGGATCAAGCTATTTTAGCACAAAACGCCCGGATTGAAAATAATGAACGAACTCTAACAAAAATTCTTGCCCAACAGAACGAACTTGGTAGCATGATACATGCCCTCGGACAACAACTCGCCACCATGGCTACCAAGGACCCCGAACCCCCACGTCTTAACGAACCAACACCAGTTCCGGCTCCTATGTTTTGACACGAACCCGATGTCCGACGTACCGAGCTCTTTGGAGGAGATTCCAAACTGGTGGGTGGGTTCCTTCTTCAGTGTGAGCTTGCATTTAACCAAGCTCCCATCAGGTACGCCTCCGATGCATCCCGTATTTCTTGTATTGTCAGCGCCCTCAAGGGCAAAGCTCTACAATGGGCCCATGCTCATCTTCGCTCTCGTCCCTTAGCCTCTCTACCGTATGCTTCTTTTATCAAAAGTTTTCAGCTAGCTTTCGACCACCCTTTACTACAAGAGTAAGCCCAACCAAGATTATTTACCATCAAACAAGGGCCAAGATCAGTCGCTGAGTTCTCCATCCGCTTCCGGGTAATCGCGGAAGAGTCTGGATGGGGGTAAATGGCGTTAAAGAGTGCTTTTCGTAACGCATTAAATGAGAACATTAAAGACCAGCTCGCCACACGAGAACCTCCTCAGGACCTAGAGGAACTCATTAATCTTGCCATTCGTATTGATAACCAATATAAGGAATGGGAGTTGGAGAAAGACTACAAACCTTGGGACCGCCCCTCAACTGGAAGTAGTTCCTGGACACCGGCGCTCCCCGAACCGGAACCAATGCAGGTGGTTCGGGCAAGACTATCCCCCGAGGAGAAACAACGGAGAATCTCTGCCAATGAATGTCTCTACTGTGGCAAACACGGCCATTATGTTAGAAATTGTCAGCTCCGTTTAAAAGGAAGAAACCCTCAATAGGTCAGGAGATATTGGTGGGTAGTGTGACCTCTTCTTCTGAGAAAAGTTTTTGTCTACCTGCAATAATTTGTTTTAAGAATGTAAATTTCCCCATCCAAGCACTGATAGATTCCGGAGCTGAACAGAACCTTATTTCTCAAGATATCGTCAAACATCTTAATCTACCCGTGGTTCCTTTAAATAATTCTGTCAATGTTTCAGGTCTCACCGGCCAGACCATTACCTCCATCTCTCACTGGACTCGAGACCTTCACCTGGTTCTTTCAGGCAACCATCATGAAAAATGTGAGTTTTTTATTTTTGACTCCCCGAGACCTCAACTTATTTTAGGCTATCCCTGGTTAGTTAAACACAACCCCCAAATCAATTGGAGGGATAACCTGATTGAACGTTGGGGCGATACTTGTTCTGTTGACTGTTTACACTCGGCCATTTCATCAGGGTCCTTCTCCCCCCGTCCAGGAAGAAATTGACCTTTCCAAAGTACCCCCCATATATCATGCTCTTGCCCCGGTCTTCAGCAAACAGGAGGCCATCTCTCTACCACCCCACAGACCTTATGACTGTCCTATAGATCTCCTTCCTGGTGCCCCCCTGCCGTCCAGCAGACTCTACAACCTGTCGGGCCCAGAAAGGGAGACTATGAGGCAGTATATAGAAGAGTCCTTAAAATCAGGCATAATCCGTCCATCCACTTCTCCCCTCGGTGCAGGGTTCTTCTTTGTATCAAAAAAAGACAAGACTCTGAGACCCTGCATCGACTTCAGAGGCCTTAACAAGATTACCATTAAGAATAAGTATCCCCTGCCCCATATCGACTCCGTATACAAACAGCTACAAGATGCCAAAATTGTCACCAAGCCAGACCTACGCAATGCCTACCACCTGGTAAGAATCCAAGAGGGGGACGAATGGAAGACCGCATTCAAGACCCCCCTTGGACATTTTGAATACCTGGTCATGCCTTTCGGCCTCACCAACGCCCCAGCAGTTTTTCAGAACCTTATCAATGACGTCCTAAGAGATTTTCTGCATGTATTTGTCTTTGTGTATCTCGACGATATTTTGATTTTTTCCAAAGACCCGGCTCAACACACTAGTCATGTCAAGGCTGTTCTTCAGAGACTCTTGGAAAACAAACTTTATGTCAAAGCTGAGAAATGTGTTTCATTTGTCATCTGTAACTTTTCTGGGTTTTATTTTTGAAGAAGGACAGGTCCGGTCTGACCCAGAGAAGATTAAAGCAGTAGCAGAGTGGCCTACTCCCCAGGATAGGATACAGCTCCAACGATTCCTGGGTTCCTCCAATTTCTACCGATGTTTTATTAGGAACTACAGTCAGGTAGCCACACCACTAACCCAACTCACCTCCTCTCTCCGAAAATTTGTCTGGTCTCCAGAAGCTGAGGATGCTTTCCAGAAACTTAAGACACTCTTCTCCTCAGCCCCCATCCTCTCCCACCCAGATCCCCATCGGCAGTTCATTGTGGAGGTGGACGCATCGGATACTGGGGTGGGTGCAGTACTCTCTCAGAGATCCTCTATGGATGGTAAGATCTACCCCTGTGCCTTTTTCTCTCTGCGGCTGTCTCCCGCTGAGAGAAATTACGATGTGGGAAACCGAGAATTTCTGGCTATAAAACTGGCCCTAGAAGAACGGAGGCATTGGCTGGAGGGAGCAGAATTACCCTTTGTAATTTGGATAGATTACAAAAACCTTGCATACATTCAAGGGGCTAAAAAACTCAACGCCCACCAGGCTCGCTGGTCATTATTTTTCGCCCGATTTAATTTTTCTATCACATACATCCCTGGTTCACGTAACGTTAAACCTGATGCTCTTTCCCATCAGTTCTCATCATCCAAGACAGAGTCACCTGGTCATATTCTACCCCAGTCCTGCATGGTGGCAGTCATGACGTGGGACATTGAAAAGGAGATCCTTGAGGCCCAAAGGAGTGAACCTGACCCCGGCACCGGTCCCCCAGGGAAGAGATTTGTCCCTTCTGCCATCGTAAGTAAGGTTCTACACTGGATTCACTCTGCCAGATTTTCCTGTCACCCAGGCATGAGATGCACAATTTCACTCGCAAAGAGACACTTCTGGTGGCCTAACATGGAGAAGGATATCAGGGAGTGCGTGTCCGCATGCACCACCTGCGCTTGTAATAAGAGCAATAATCAACCCCGGCGGGCCTCCTCCATCCCCTTCCTCCGCCTGGGCGTCCATGGTCTCACATAGCTTTGGATTTTGTCACTGGATTACCAATTTCTGAAGGTAACTCTGCTGTATGTACAATCATTGATCGCTTCTCCAAGGCAGCACACTTCATACCTCTGGTTAAACTACCCTCAGCATCGGAGACAGTCCAGATCCTGATTAAACATGTTTTTCGGTTACATGGCATACCCCTTGACATAGTTTCAGACAGAGGTCCACAATTCACTTTGCAAGTCTGGAAGGTCTTCTGCCATGCCTTGGGAGCCACCTCAAGCCTGACGTCGGGATACCACCCTCAGTCTAACGGTCAGACTGAGAGGTGCAACTGTAAGGATCCTACCCTGCACCCTGCCTTTCTCTCTCCTCTACACTCCTAATTGGCTCCAGCTGCAGATGATCAGCTCAACACCCAGGAGGAGTATAAGAAGATTCAGGAACCACTCTGCTGGCGCTGGGACATTGCCTACCAACGGTAGTTGTGTTCTGGCCAGTTATTCAGTGATATTAGTAAAAACTAATATTGTGTTTTTTCCTCTGCGCTTCCTCAGAGTTTGGATCTTGCTGTACCTGCCCTGCTTGAGTTCCACATGAACTCCTCCTGCCTATCTACAATTGTTGGATGCCTTCCACCACTTGCCTAAATCTACTTGTTGCTTCACCTTGTGCCACTGGACACCATCTGGACAAAATACCTTCACCTTCTGTTTTCCTGCTTCACACCGTAAGAATAATTCAACAAGATATATTCTTATCCAACCACAGCCCTTTAAATTACCGCTCTCTCTCCAGGTGTTCCCGTTCCCCTCATTGATGTTTTATTTATCACCAACTTGTAAATAAACACTTTAAATTATTATCTGAGTCCTGGTATCTGTTCAGTTCTGGTCTTTCATTCTGGGTACACCGCAAACATTACAGCAACCAGGAGCTCGAAGCCGCATTAAGGTGCGTTATTGAACACAACCCAACCTCCTGGAGCAGACACCTGCCCTGGGTTGAATATGCCCATAATTCTCAAACTTCGTCTGCCACAGGTCTGTCTCCTTTTGAAGCCTCTCTGGGATACTCCCCACCCTTATTTCCCTCCCAAGAGTCTGACATCTCTGTTCCTTTTGTTCAGCATCATCTACGTCGGTGTCGCAGGATTTGGCGCCAGACCAGAACAGCCCTCCTTCGGACAGCCGAACAAAATAGAAGATTTGCTGACCGACACCGTTCCTCCACACCGAAGTATCAGGTGGGGCAGAAGGTATGGTTATACACTAAAGACATCAAATTAAAAGATACGCCCAGAAAACTAGCCCCCAGGTTCATCGGCCCCTTCCCCATAATCAGAGTCATCAACCCTGCAGCTGTCCGTCTCCAACTACCTCCCACCCTGAGGATACATCCCACTTTTCATGTCTCCCAAATTAAGCCCGTCTCTGTCAGCCCGCTCAACCCACCTGCCAACCTCCCTCCACCCCCCCAGCTCATCGACAACGACCCTGTTTATTCTGTTAGACGCCTGCTGGATGTTCGTCGCAGGGGTCGAAACCTTCAGTACCTTGTGGACTGGGAAGGCTATGGGCCAGAGGAGCGATCTTGGGTTCCTCGATCCTT